TTACAGGAAATGTCCCCTCTCCCAGGCAAAAGGTAAGCAGGGAGGGTGGATATCATTTTTATTTTGAATTTAAAAAAATATATATTTATTAATTTGCCCTCCTACCCTGCCCCCATACACACACACTGCCACCCCATACACACACTATCCCCCATGCACACAATTACCCCCCATACACACAATTGCCCCCATACACACACACACTGCCCCTATACTCACACACACTGCCCCTATACACACACACACACACACACTACTCCCCATACACACACACTATCCCCCATTCACAGACACTACCCCATATACACAATTACCTCCCATACACACAATTACCTCCCATACACACACACACTGCCCCCATACACACAGACTACCCCTATACACAAACATTGCCCCCATACACACTGTCCCCACATACACACACACTGTACCCCTCACACACACTGCCCCCCACACACAATGCACTCCCCACACACACACTGTACCCTTCACACTACCTGTCCACCCACACACACACACACTGTACTCTTCACACAACCTGCCCACCCACACACTGTACCCTTCATGCACAAACTGCCCCCCATACACGCACATTGCACCCCTGTACACACATGCACATGCATCCCTCACTCGTCTTAAATGGTTTGACTACTTACCCTAGTAGGGCACTACGGCACTACTGGCACCATAACCACTGCAACGTAATGTAGTGGTTATTGTGTCTGGATTGTTTCTTTAAATAATTTACCAGTGCCACTCCCAAGATTAGGGGCCCAGTATATGCCACAGCGCTGTACATAAAAAATTATTTTGACTTGGCGTGCCTTGGAAAAATATTGAAATATTAAGGGCGCCTTGAAACCTAAAAAGTTTGGGAACCACTGGCATAGAAATAAATTGTAAGATAAGAGAAAAGTAAGGGAAATGCTAATTATTCCATTTGTATGCACATTATAAAAAGTGAATTTTTAAAATAGCAATCTTTATGGCAGACAAGACAGAAGACAGATGATTACCAAATATTTCCAATTTAAAAAAGTTCTCTATTTTTTTCATGTGAATTGATATTGAAGTCCTTACCTGTTGAGCCTATGCAGTGCAGCATTTAGACTTTCCCATATTACTTACTGCACTTTGCCATGTTATGTTATTTGGGTCTCAGGATAGTTTCAATACTTCAGATTCTGATTCCGATTCAACTCAATATCACTGTACAATGTGCATACAAGGACAATAAAACACAGTTAGCCTCTGATAAGAAACGCAGTAGCAATCAATACAAAATACTATATGCAAATGTATTCTCAGTGTAAGCCTTTTATTTAAATCTATGCCCACTACTATATATCCATATAAATGCAATCCTTAATTGATGCAAATTTTAGACATAATACATCAACATTATACAATAATACCACCATATAAAGATTTAACATACAACCCATATATCCCAATCTAAGTAAACATTCTATCCCATAAAAAACACCATACCTGTGCAATAGGTGTGCCAACTGCCATACAGTTAATACATCTAGGGCAAATATATACCCGATTCTTAATATACCTTTACCATGCAACATAAAGTGCTCAATGTGAGCCCAAAGACTACATGTATAAAGTTCAAAGGATAAGCAAATAAACCACATACATAAAATGCAGAACAATTAGAACATATGGTAAGTGCAAAATGTTAGCACATAATATGTGCAGATCCAGAATGTGGACACATAAACCATGTGCAAAAAATACATAATGCATATAAAGTGCAAAATGTGAGCACATAATCCTGTGCATAAAGTTGCAAAATGCAGTTATACTGACCATGTGCAATTTGAGCACAATAAGTACAAATGTGGCACTATTATTATTATTATTATTATTATTATTTATAAAGCACCAACAGCTCCTTACGATAGGATGCCACATACACAAGTGCAAATAATATATTAAACATAAGCAAGTGCAAGTAAAACCACTAAGTGCAAATCACCAATCAATATACAAAGGATAACACATACAAAACAAATAATAACTGGGAGCAAATGTATTATTATGTTGTATTATGTAATATTCTATTATACTATTTTTCCAATTTTTACACCTTGGGATTTACTATTTGATCCTTTGCATTCCTACCCATTTGTATGTTTCAATATACAAAGGACTTGTAAATCCTCCTAGCAAACAAACTGGTATAAATACATCTTAATACAATTTTATTCCTTTAGATTAAATTCAAAGTCATCACCGCAGATAGAACAAAACTTTTCCCAAACCTACGAGTCCAACAATACAGACTCCTATAATGTTTCCTCGAGGTATTAAGATTGAAGAATCCATCATTGGGATGCAATGTGTCCTTAATGATTCATCTTATTCTCCGGGCAAAACACTTGATGTAGATTTTTTTCAATTGATGAGTAGTGATGTACCGAACGGTTCGCTGGCGAACGGTTCCTGGCGAACATAGCATGTTCGCGTTCGCCACGTCGGGCTTACATATGCGCGGTTCGACCCGCCCCCTATTCGTCATCATTGAGTAAACTTTGACCCTGTACCTCACAGTCAGCAGACACATTCCAGCCAATTAGCAGCACAGCCTCCCTAGCAGACCCTCCCACCTACTGGACAGCATCCATTTTAGATTCATTCTCAAGCTGCATGCTTAGTAAGAGGAGGGAAAATGTAGCTGCTGTTCATAAGATAGGGAAAAGCATAGCTAGGTTAGGGATAAGGGTATGCTTTTTTTGGATTTTTTTTTTCTATCTAATGTAAATGCACTTAGTTGTCTGCCACTGCTGCCAGCTTCTGCGTCAGGCTCAC